GGAATAAAGTATACTTAAAAGTTTATTCACCATTTTTGCATCTGAAGGCCAATACAAATTCATTTCCATTTGAAAAATAAGAAGTTATATACCCATTAGCATAAGAAATCTGGACACTTAGATTTTGGCAGAAAGTGCCAGATAAAAGCTTTCTCTTAATGTGAGGGGAACCATCAATGACATTAAGTGGTTTGCTGGATTGCTGACAAATATGCTCACAAAGGAGTCCAGAGAGCATAAGAAGTGGCTCAAATTCTGATGGTACCTGCTGCCATCTACCAGGTTCACTGTAGTTCTAATCCTATAAAGCCTAGGTAACATATAGTGCAATCCCAAGGAGAGTTACTCCAGTCTCAGCCCATTCATTTCAGTTGGCTTAGACTGGAGTAACTCTCTTTAGGATTGCATTGATAGGCATTCTGATATATGTCTCTGTAGTCTACCATTTTGTTGTTGCCTAGAATGAAGCTTGAAAACTCTATGGGAACCACCCCCAAGCTACACCTAAAACAAACCCTAATCTATACAGCTCACTCAGGTGCTTGTGTAAGTTTCGGGTAACTGAAGGGGGCAGTGGCACCCAAGAATCTGCCAGTAAACATGATGTACCATCCTCATATTAGTGAAGCTGGAGCCTGTAATGTCCCCTTCCGTCTTTTTTTTAACATTAATTAGAAATTAGATATTAATTTTTTAACATTAATTAGATATTAACTGCTGAAAGTAACTATAGTGTGCTTTCTTTTGTCACAGCTGAGAATTATTCTCTATCACCACCAGTGGCTTCCCTATATATTGTCTATATATTTTCTGGTTATCGCATTTCAGCTTGACGTCCCAACTGACAATGCTCTTCTTCACCTTGGCACTCTACAGTTCTGCTCCAAGTGGCCAGGTTGAGAAATCATTGAATGAAATGAATTGCTCTTTTGTATATGTTTTTAAGGGGTGAAATTTAGTCTTCTGTGGACTGTGGGAACATGTTTCCCCTAAGCACTTATTTTTATATAATTCTATACTGTGCACACATACATTAAAACTGCAGAACAAATTTAGCGTGACCCCAGTAAGTGCCTTAAATTTGTATCTACACAAGCTGGCAAGCGTACTAATACTAAGTAGGCTGGGATCTTGCAGGAATCTGTGGGAAGGAGGGAAAACATATGGCAATCCCAGTCCCACCCCACCCCAAATTTCCACTTTGGGGATTTTATACATCTGAGGAATTTGAACAAAGTTCATTTTCACTTCCCTCCTTCACTCTGCTCTCAGCATTTCCATGCCTCTTGTACACAGTCCTCATTAGGCCACTGTTTTCTGAGGAAAGGGTTTAGTTAATTTACAAAGGCCCCGTTCACACGGGCAGGAAACTGCGGGGGAGAAGCGTGGCTGTTTGCCCTGGGGCAAACTACTGCGCAGTTACGCGATCAGACCTCCCGTGGAGGTCCTGTGGAGGTACCGTGGAGGTTCCATGGCAAGGGAGAGGTGCTGATCACAGGACAAGCCGGCACGCAATGAAGAAGCGCGCGCCGCGGCAAACTGTTTTCTTTGTGTGTGTACACGACAAATGCGCATGCTCCGTTGGGTGCGTGTGCGCATCCACAGAGACTTGGACAAAAAAACCCCACCTTATTTGCAAGGGGACATGGGCGGGCGCCGGATGCCACCGGAAACGCGATCAGACGCCCGCCCTTGCCCCGCAGTTTCTGGAAACTAGTACCTCCGAGGTACTAGTTTTTTGCCACGCAGTTTCGGCTGGAAGCCTCGGTTGAGCCATGGGAGTGCTACGCTTCCCAGATGTGCTGGTGAGATCGCGCCCGGAAACTCCGCCTGTTTTCCGTCTCACTTGTGTGGCTTCTGTTCCATGTGACCGCAGCCAAAGTAATATTTTTCTATATATCTGAGGAGTCCCCTAAGTAGGCAAAGATCCCTACCTTGTCTGTGAATGGCCTGGTTTTTGTTGCTTTGTTGATTGGCATAGGGATTGGCTGCCTCAGCATTAGATTTATAGACATATAATAGTGATTTTTAGACATATAACAGCCTTTTTAAAAATTCAGAATGTTTTTCATGATACAGAAAAGTCAATGTTTATATCTATTTTGCAATCTAATCTCATTAAATTTTCAAAAAAAGTCCATTTATATTTCATACAGATAATTAGCTTCTGTATGTGTGCCACAAACTATCCATCAGGAAGCACTGCGAAACATATAAAAATGAATACACTAGTAACAGATTGTTTTGTTTACTTATAATTCCCTCTAAATACCCAAATGAAAAATCCTTCTAAACTTGAAGATGTTAATACAGGACAGTTTTTAGCCATGCACCACAAATACGACATGCAGCCAGAATGTAAAAATAAAGTTGAACAATCTCAACCTAGTTTACATTCTTTAGGTTAGTAGATTTTTGTATATTATGCTTGTGAAAACAATTACAAAGCAATAATGAAAATTAGCAAGCAGGAAAAAAGCTGGTGTTTAGCAAAAATTTAGCAAAAAAGAAGTGTTTTCCTGAAAAAAGATGCAATGGGAAATTATGCTTTATCAAACAGAAAAATTAAACAAATTAAACAAATGTGCACACTGGGAAACTATTATTTTCTCAAAATTCAAAACCAAAAGATGGGTAAAATGCATTTTTAACACATTCTGCAGTGAAGGCCATATAAGTGCAATTTTCTTAAGGAATTGTGACTGCTAACTACAATAAGTAACAGCCAAACGTCAAGAAGTTGATGTCTCTTATTGTTCAGTGGGAGCCTGAGTTAACAAGACATATTCATCAAAGATGACAATGATAATAGGAGTAGTAGCAGTCATGCATTCAATGTATTACAACAATAGCTCTGTTCGTGAGAATTTGGGAGCTGTCTCTAATATCACTAGTGTGGAGAAGTAGAATGGACGGTACCACTTCAGACTGAAGGGAAGGATTAGAGTTTTCAAATTCCCTGTAAGTAGAAAAATACTATAGTTTGTAAAGGATTAAGCTAAATTAGAACCTGTCTCCCAAATCGGGTATGTGTTTTATTTACAGGGACTTTTTACATGGGAGGTACTTAAAATCTGACTTCATTTTCCCACCTGCTGTTGGAAATGGTAGAGTACTCTATCACATCAGAATTCTACTGTATACTGCCTGGGCCATAATCTAGGAAAACCAAGCGAGGCCCTAAGGAAAGTAAAAATACTTTGAAGCGTGCTAAATAAATTATTTCCATTCTAATCCATTCTCTGTTGGCTTCGCCAGCTCTTATTATAGATTCAAACACACTCATAGGCCTAGTTCATACATTACTTCTGTGATGACGATGTCAGATAAAAATCCATACCTGCCTGCTGCAACTCCAAATCACCAGGACATTTGCTCATGCCAAATCTCATAGGTCACTTTGGTAACATATTTTCATCCCATGCCATTCATCATAGTTGGCATGGGAAGTAACCATGTGATTTGGCTGCCCCATGAGATACAGGGTTTGGTTACATTTCCATTGCATTTTTGCAACGGACCCTCATACTTTCTGGACTGCCTCTCCTGGCATAATCCTCCCTGTCTTCTCTGATCTTCATCTCAGAATTCATTGAAGGTCTCTGGTCCACAAACTGCCCACCTTGTGTCAACAGGGCGAAGGCCTTCTCAGTAGTGGCCCCTATCCCGTGGAACCAGCTGTGTGCCTTGTGGGACCTCCCCAGGTTCCACAGGGCATGCAAGGCTGCTCTTTTTCAGGCAGCCTTTGGGTGATTGTGATCCACCAGACAGCTGGTACAATTCAGCTGTATCTTCACCATCCACACATCCTACCCTGCTTGACAGTGGATAAATTTTAATGGGGAAACCATTTAACCATTTTATATTTTAATGATTATTTATTGTATCTTTTTATTGTTTTTATTGGTGCATTTTAAATGCTGTTAGCCACGCCGAATCCCATTCAGGGGCGAGGAAACAGAATATAAATTTGATAAATAAAAAGGAACATGGCTGACAAGAGCATTTGGGGTTTTCTTTTTTTATAACAGCACCACACACACCACAGAAGTAATTGTATGGACAAGCATGCTCATTTGAAAAGAAGACCTAGCCATCTGTCATCACAGATTCAGGTTCCATTCAACAGTTTGAAAGCTGTTCCATCAGTAGCTAAGCCCTAGCAATACAGCTATAAACCTACTAAATTATAAAATTAACCATGGAAATCCCCTGAAAAAGGAAATGTATCCTTTAGGTGGCCTAGAGAAGATCCATTTTTCCTACTTTCACAGTTTCAGACAGCATCTAGGTTTCTGACAGCAAGATAGCTCGCCTATGTCTCACTGGCAGAGGCATGAAAGCGATGATGCAAATGATATTTAAGACTGAGTACCATCCTATGCTGCGGTGGCTCAAGTGGTTAAGACGCTGAACTTCAGGCAGTTCGGGTGCCGCATGATGGAGTGAGCTCCCATCTCTAGCAGTTCGAAAGCAAGAAATTGCAAGTAGATAAATAGATACCACTTTGTGGGAAGGTAACAGTGTTCCGTGCGCCTTGGTGTTTAGTCATGCCGGCCACATGACCACGGAAACGTCTTCGGACAGCACTGGCTCTTCGGCTTTGAAACAGAGATGAGCACCGCAACCCTAGAGTCGGATTCGACTGGCTTTCGAGCAAGGGAACCTTTACCTTTACTTACCATCCTATGAATTATTTTATATTTAGCCAGGGAACTGCAAGGGGAGTTTTAAAAGTCTAAAGTCTGTAAAAGTATGAAAAGCTGCTTGAGGAATAAAAAGAATGCATCTTTTTTCCTCAGACAGTGGTGAAACTGAACTGAAGTAACATATTGGTGTTAGGAAAAACATAGCACAGACACTGTTTTAGTAGAAATGACAACCATGCATTCATTTCTAACATGGCAAAAAAAATATAAGTAAAAGAATGGCAAAGATTAGAAGAATGGATGGTGTTCCAAATGGCAACTTCATGCAGCATGGGTTTGTAAAGTACGTACCCAGAAAAGATCTCTTTGGAGGTGTTTTGATTTCTTCATCCTTACTATCTGCAGCTACGTCCAAAAAGTGAAGAGAAAGGAAAGACAAAACAGACTCATTGGACTCCATATAGCAGCAGATCTTTTAACGGACTATATCAACAGGTTAATGTTAGCATATCTTGTGAGTAGTCATGCCAAAAGTTTTTTTAGTTCCCGCGCTAACCAGCATTCTCTTGGAATTCTCTCTTTGAAAAATAGATGTAAGGGTAACGAAGTCACTATATGTAGTCTTAAAACATCTGAAAATAGCAGGGGGGAAATTAAATGATATAATAAACAAGATTCTTCAACAAATTTTAATACATTTAGATTAGGTTGTTCTTTTTCACTTGCCTCACTAAGAAGAAATTTTGAAAGAAGCTTTCATTGTAAAAGTTTCAAGAATAAAATACAGCAATTTGAGAGAGCTTACCACAGTGAAGCAAGGGTTATCAAAATGCCATCAAGCTTGCTATCCAAGAAGTGGCAATGTACAATGTGAAAGCTGCCATATTAGCAAAGCAGACTTCTCCTTGGAAAGCTCACAATCCAGTTATCTGCATGGATCCTACCCAGAGGCACTCATTGCACATGAACAGCCTGGTTATTTTCAGGATATGTCATACCATCCAGGATTTGGCATACCTGGATGTCTACTTCTTCAAGTGCTGCAAGCTTTCTTTCATTCCTCTTGTGTAAATTTAAGGTAGCTTTTAAAAACCACAAATGGTGTAACAGTGGTCCAAAAAGGGTGGGGGAAGTATTCCTAATCCAGGGGGGCCTCTGCTCCAGACCTACTCCAGACCCACAAGGTCATAAATCCCTGGACAAGACTGTGAAGAGACAACAGGCACAGTACAGCCTAAGTTAAACCTTTTGAACTCCTTTAATTTAAGTGTGAAACACAGCTTGATATGCATGTAATCCTTAAAGTAATTGTTAATAAAGTACTTCAAATCAGTCTTGCCTCATATGATCTACATTTCAGTTTTTATCTTCAGACCCTATCAGGGCCACAAAACCTTTACTGGTCTCAGCTGGCAAGTACAAATTATTCGGTAAAGGAGAAGTCAGTTTGTGATAGTCATCAGAGACACTTAAAAGCGTTGACAATCTCTCTGATGTCTCCGAGTATCTCTCAAGCTAAGCATGAAGTTAGAAATAAACACTTCCATCCAACAAGATCTTTGTGCATGTGTAAGAACATAGGAGAGAGGTAGGGTCTGCTTCTTTTGCCCAGCACAAAATGGGAGACTTCTCTCTATCTTCTGCAATGTTGGGCAGACAAGCCAGGGACATATTTGTGACCACCAATAGCACCTAGCAAGCACATCTATGGACAACTTAAGTTTGACAGCTTAGCGGGGAGACCGCGTACTGGTAATGGCTGGCCACCAAGTTGGAAGATCGTCTCCACCTTGACTGATGATGTAGTGTTTTAGGTTGCTTACTGTAGTTTAATTATTGTATTTTATTGTGTGTTTTATTGTATTTTAGATTCTGGCTTTGCTGCTTGTGAACTGCCGTGAGCCTTTGGGAGGGCGGTATAGAAATCTTATAAATAAATAAATAACTTGGTCTTATGCTTAATTTCTATCGATGACATTCAGAATAATAAACTTGTTTCCTTGTTATTTCATCCCATTTGAGGAGGAAAAATGGGTTATACTCTTTCCACATAATTTAACATGAGGGCAAGTACAAAGGTCAGCATTAGAGCATAGGTCAAGACCCAGAACAAGGCAGAGTCCTCAAGAATAGCTATATACACTTGGCCCATATGCTCCCACCAGGAAATTAGATATTGCTCTAGAAGCCCCTGTGACGTTGAAAGGGCCTCTGATGCAAACTCTTTTTCCCTGCTTGGAAAGGCACCTGCAGACAGCAAAGCATCATTCTCACACAGAACAGCCCTACTATGCTGCCCCCCACACACACCACTTCAATGTCAGGGGTAACCTCTAGGGTGATCTCCCATTTTGCTGGGTGATCTCCCATTTTGCTGCTCCTATGCCTGTCCTGACAAAAAGGCTTGTGATTTTTTTTTGCCCTAGTGAGTGTGGCAGGGTAGCCCCACTGACCTGTAGGTGCCACTCCATTTCAGCCCTCTCAGATGCCTAGGTGCCAAAGGTCATGCTGAGTCACCATCCAGTGACACACCACTCTCCCAACTCTTAAAATGGTTATGCTTCTTCTTCGGCACACTGCCAGCAGCTGGTCAATCTGGGAATTATCGGCAGAGAAGTTCAGCAAGTCTTCCTTCCATTAAGCTGATTAAAGGCTTCTCCAACTGCTTGCATCACCCACTACACAGCAACTGGTTAACAAGGGAACAGCTTACCACACCTGTGCACTCCTGGGGAATTAGCAATCTAGCAACCAACCACCTCCTTCCTCGGTGCCAGTTCTGAACAGAATGTTTAAATGGTGGAGTACTATGTGGTACAAAGAACAACTACCAGCATTTAAAATAGTAAATAATTTATTAAAAGGAAAAAGTCCACACATAGTCTGCAAAACAACAGACTGAGCAAGGGATACAAAAGAAAGGTGAAAACATGCAATCCCCTGTCCCTCGATTCTGTGCATGTCCTAGCTGGTCTTATTCTAAGGCAGGCTGTCTACAATTAGAAGTTATACTGATCTAAAAGTTCCCCAGCTGTTTTCTTCACTCCTGAGAGTGCTCATCTCCCTTAAGAAATACAACAGGGATGCCAGTTGTAACTAGAGCTCCCGTTTACCAGTCCACATGGGAATTCACCAGCCCAATTTACCACCATGGAGGAACTGAGGAGCAGGAGAAAAAATAGCCTCCACACAGTGATACTCTAGGAAGTTTCCTTGGTCTATATCATAGAGAGTAGGGGAGGCAGCCTTGAGTGTCACCTAGAAGTGACATCACAACCTTCCCATACCCTGTCCTCCGCAGGCACTGCCCCCCACATTTACCAGCACTTGCCGAAGCAGTGTTGGAAACCCTAGCTATTACCCTTTCAATGACTTCTGAACTATAACTCTGGAAAATATTTTTGGATCTGGGATATCTGAGTTTCTGGTTAACACAACCCAGCAAGTAGAGTATTCCCATAAAATATCCCCGGATTATTTAGCCCCCTTTTCAGATAAACAAGCCTATGCTATTATTAAACAAAGATTTCTCGACATCGAAAGACAAGAACTTAGGGAACGTGCAGCCAGCAGATGCTCCCCAAGCAGGTTGGGGACTTTTGACATGGGCTCTACTGCAAAGTATCGTCAAGTTTAACAGCCCCACATCATCACAGAGCATACATGCTTGCACGCTTTAATGTTCTGCCATCAGAGGTGCTTTTAGGGAGGTACCACCAGATACCATATCTAGACAGACTTTGCCCTTGCTCTCTAAAAGATACAGAATTCACTACACACACCATACTTCACACTACACACACATAGAATCCACTACACACACCACTACACACACCATACTTCATTGCCGTTTGTCCATGCTGCTCACAGTGTGCATCACAGCTCCAGTTCCTCATGGGATGCACAGTGCCCTGTCAGCAAGGACTGGTGTTTTGGGAACTTTGTGTCTTTTTCTTTTTAATTAAGTTTATATTACAGAAAACAATACACATGGTCTTGTGGAATCCTGTAAATTAGTGGGCCAGTGCTCATTAAAAAAATCAAAAAGGAGAGCCAGTTTGGTGTAGTGGTTAAGTGTGCAGGAGAACCGGGTTTGATTCCCCACTCCTCCACTTGCACCTGGCTGGATGACCTTGGGCAAGCCGTAGTTCTGATAAGAGCTGTCCTTGAAAAAAGAGCAGTTTCTGTCAAGAGCTCTCTCAGCCCCACCTACCTCACAGGGTGTCTGTTGTAGGGAGGGGAAGGGAAAGGAGTTTGTAAGCCACTCTGAGACACCTTTGGGTAGTGAAGGGCAGGGTATAAATCCAATCTCTTCTCTTCTATAGGGATATCCAATCTCGTTTTATTACTCCATTTCTAGAGGGTAAGAGCTGGCACTCTGATGACTCAATTGTTCACTTTCTTCTGTATAATTCTAATTGCGAAATAATAGAGGCTGTTCCAAAACTTTTATATTATGCAATCAGAAGACAAGGCTTGAATAGCCAAGTGTAAGTGACTGATGCATTTTAGTATTTTCCTGTATTTCCATGATGTTTTGTGCTTTCAAGCCAATAAAGGTTTTGTGTGTGTGTGTGTAAGTAGAGTATTCCCATAAGTGTCTGAAGACAACACGTGAGCCACCCTTACAAATTATTTACCTGGACTGTGCGCAGAAATGTATTTTCTCTGGATGTAGTTTGATGATGGTACAAATTTAAAAGAGGACAGATGGGAAGAAAGCCTCTTGCAGAAGCTGTTTTCTTAATTGCAATCAGATCACTTATATCTCATACAAGTCAAAGGAGTGGTGACATTAAGATAAGACTGCAAACAATTTCATCACTTTTGAGTTACCAGACTTTTCTTTACAGACACACTGAAATAAGTAAAAGTATTATACCTGTAGGTTCAAATATTAGAGAGTAAGGGGAAGGGGAAAAAACAAAAATTAAGATTTTAGGCAGTTCTTAAAAAAATTACAATTGATTCAAAACAGGCTGCCAGACCAATCTAGACAAAACAGATCTAGATGGCGGAAGATAATTTCTTCCTGATGTAACCCCTCCAAGATAAAGTTGTCTACTTGTTTTGTATAGGGGGGGGGGATTCCACAGACTGATTATCTTGCACTGATCACTTCAGTGGTGCCAGAATTCATTAGACTAATTTCAGAGGGGATGTTTTTCTCATTTGTACTGAACTCAAATACACCTAGTGGAATTTTAATACCAGTACAGAATTCTCTCACATCATCTCTGGGGATGCAATCTGTGAGTACAGAAAGATCCTTTCCGGAAATGTAATGGCCCTGCTGCAGTGATGGATCAATTAATTCAATAAAAGGAACACAAAATACACTGATTCCAAAAACAAAAAACAGCTAAATGTTCAACGAAGCAATCAGAACAGAAGGTTTGCTCTGACATTCACAAACCACAAATTCTAAGAGAATATTGGGGGGAGGGCATAATAATGAAAGGGGGGGCTTATTTCAACATGAAGAACTGGAGAGAGGGGGGGAGATCTGTCTACATTTTAAACTACAAGGTGAAATTTCAGAAGCCCACAGTTCATCCTTCTCAGGTATCATGAAGTACCAGAAATGTACATTACACAATTTAAATATCTTTGAGGTATGGATTTTGTGCACTGTCAATCAGCAGGGCCTTCAAACCAGAAGGTTTTTGGGGAGGGAGGGGGAATGCTTGATCTCACAAAATTAATCCCTCTAAAGCAGGAAGGATTTAATAAATTATCTATCTGGCAGCAGTTTGGTTTTCAACCCTCTATTGCAGGGATGTCAAGCATAAGGCCCAAGGGAGGGAACAGGAGACTGCTTGGAGGGAGTGGGCGGAGCTTCAGCATGGTGGAACAACCTCATCTGTGGCAGTCAAGTAGGATGGAATGATCTGCCCAGTGCTGCACCATGGGCTCTCCAGTCTGCCCACATGGGTTTTCCTTTGCACACACACCCAGCCCATGGGGTCTTGGGAGCTTACCAGCTACTGTCCTTTATACAGCTTATATTTCTGGTACCTGGCATTATGTTTTATGACACACATGACAGAGCCCAACAAAGTGACATTTATGTCAGATCTGGCCCTCATAACAAATGAGTTTGACACCTCTGCTCTATTGGCTTTTTGGATTGATTTTGGTGCTGCCCCTTTCCCCTGTATCCTGGGCAGGGCCTACGGCTCAGGGGCAGCTCATCTGCTTGGTATGATGGTCCCAAGTTCAATCCCTGGCATCTCCAGGATAAAAGATCAGGTAGTAGGTGATGTGACAAACCTCCACCTGAGACCCTGGAGAGCCACTGTCAGTCTGAGCAGACAATACTGAACCTGATGAACCAATAGTCAGATTCATCGTATGGCAGTTTCATATGTTCAATAAGGATACTGTTTTGTTACTTTTGAAATTATTAGGAATTGCTTCTCTTCTATTAAACTGGAGCTATAAGGGTGCTTTATAGATATATCCCTTCCCAATAGCCACTGTGGCTAATTGCCCACAACAGAACATGGGAAATGTAGACCTGTGGAAGCATCTTAAGAGGAACTAAATGTTAAGAGATGCTTCAGAGTAGCGAGTGATGCAACACAGACAATATATTCTATTACAAGGAAGCTTCCCCACCACAGAAAAGCAAAACAGGAAAAAAGGGGAACACTAAAATCAATCCTGAAAGCCAAGAGAGGACTGAATTCCAAACTGCTGCCAGACAGAGAACTTACTAAATAAAAGGGAAATGCCTCCAGACAAAAACAGGTCTTGTTGGCAGAGTTTAAATATGCAAAGGAAGCGGAGCACTGACTGTTTAGAGAAAAATAAGTAGGTTTATTAAAGAAGAACAAACTCTTAAAGAACATACAGAGAGAAAGCCTAAACTAACCAGTCTAACTGCTATAAAAGGAACAAAGAGCAACAGGAAGTTCTACAGGAGCAGGAAGTCTCCAGAAAAGCCAATCAGGAGACAGCAAGGACACAATTTGAAAAAGTGGGAAATCCCTAGTCTAACTATGCTAACTACAAGTCCTTCAGCTGTCCTCCTGTAGGATGATCTTCAGGTCTTCTTCATAAGGCTGCACTATAGACCTTGCACATTCCAACACTTCCAAGACAAGAAAACTAACCACTCTCGCTCATTTAAGCAACATGCTCCCTCACAATTTTCCCCCCAAGAAGAGATCCTCTCAGTATTTCTGTTCTGTTTCATGGTTACCTGTACCAGTTTTGAGGCTTAATCCTGCTTTCTGTTTTGTCTATTACAGAAAGAAACTGACAAAATCCAAACATATTGCCAAATTTGAAAGAAGTGTGTTAAACATACATATAGACACTCAGCATAGTAATTTTATCAAGAGTGGGGGGAAAACAATGAGAGGCTCAAATACATCTAAGAACAATCCAGGATCACAGCTTCTACTCAGTATGAATACCATTTGTATTTAGAGTGAAGATATATAAAACATATATATTGCAAAACATATGCATTGCAAAGATTTACAAAACGTATGTATTTATTGCATTGTATGTATTGTAAAGGAGTTGCGATGGCTCAAGTGGTTAAGATGCTGAACTGCAGGCTGTGGAAGGTCAGTAGTTCAGCAGTTCAAGATCCGAGTTGCCGCATAATGGAGTGAGCTCCCGTCTCTAGTTCCAGCTCCTGCCAACCTAGCAGTTCGAAAGCAAGAAATTGCAAGTAGATCAATAGGTACCACTTCGGTGGGAAGGTAACAGCGTTCCGTGCGCCTTGGTGTTTAGTCATGCCGCCCACATGACTACGGAAACGTCTTTGGACAGCGCTGGCTCTTCGGCTTTGAAACGGAGATGAGCACCGCAACCCTAGAGTCGGATTCGACTGGCTTTCGAGCAAGGGAACCTTTACCTTTTTGTATTGTAAACAAACACATTTATATACATATGCAGCAGTAAAACAGAGCTCCAAATCCTTCCCCTGATGATCAGTCTACTTGTTATGACCACCCCACAGAAGTGGCATGAAACAGCTTCAGCATGACGGCTGCTCTTCTTGATGTTGAGAAGCTCACCTTACGGATCACCCAAACCACATAGGAAGCTAAACACCACTGGCCAGATTTTCCTGATGTAGTTGGCAGTAACATGGAAGCTACATGATAGACTCAAAGCACGATGCCTGGTGGGTGGATCAGCCAGCACACAAAGGCTATTGTAAGTGGTTTCCACATGATGTCTGTAATGTGTACACTGGATCTATGGCAGCAAATATAACATAATAACTAGAAGCATGTCAATATCCTAAGAGTTGGGGCCTGTATAATATGATCCTTCCTTTACAAGCTTTGCAGGGGGGGAAATATCAGGCAACTCAGCAATTATACCAGGCGGGGTTGCCAACCTCCAGATGCCAACCTCTTTATTACAACTGATCTCCAGCCAACCAACATCAGTTCATCTGGAGAAAACAGCCACTTTGGAAAGTGGACTCTACGGCCTTATATACCCCCACTGAAGTCCCTCCCCTCCCCAAGCACCACCCTCTTCAAGCTCCACCACGAAAATCTCCAGGTATTTCCAAGCCCAAAGCTGGCAACCCTAATACCAGGCCTTAAATACACTCACATTTAATTGTAACAACACAGGAAAAAATATAAAAATAAAAGCCATTTCTGTCGGGTGTTTTGTATTCTATTGTCAAAGAGACAATTTGACACTATGTGCCAAAAGGTAACCTTAGCAAAAGAAGGCACGCTAAAAACACAGGAGGAAAAAAGAGAGAGAAGATCTTTTACTTCAACCAACCTGAAAAGGACCGCCGTTTTATATTCAGCTCATTTGCCACACGTACTTCAGTGCATAGTTTCAGCATCAGTAGCATTGTGATTATCATTATAATGCTCTGCAACAGTAGAGGGGATTCAAAATGCCTCCCAAACCTAGAAGACAAAAAAGGGGGGGGGAGTCTCAGTATTGAATTGCACACCCAGGGACCTCTGCCAATGTAAACATAAATAGTTAAGTCTTTAAATCCATACCCATATAGTTTGTCATAAGGTAACATGCCAAAACAAAAAAACTGAATAACCAATAAAGATAACATTCATAATTTATTTTCTTTAAAATACTACTTTCCATCATGTACAAATAAACATCATCACAATGCGATCATCGCAATGCCAATTTGCCAATCAATATTATTCAGATGACGTTTCACTACTGACTAGAAGTCTTGATACAAAAATCTCCGTGTTACTTCTTGTAATGGAGGACAATGAAATAATACACATACAATATCATCCACTTCTTCAGAACCACAGATACACAAACATTCTTCATATGAAACATTATGACTCCTCCAGGCAAAACCACTGAGGGGAAGACCTCCAGTCCACTAGTCTAAGACTGCATTTATACACTTTCATATTTGATCTAATGTCAACTACTTTCCCTTCTTAGGAATGATGACTTGTAATAAGCCAAATATCACCTCCCTCCTCAGTAAATGCACAAACTCCATTAAGAGAAGCATACACTGGAAGAGTAGTATGGCAGGATAATTTCTGGCAAAGCAACATGTATAGCTGAATCATGTCTATTAGATAGAAACAGATTAGGCTATTATGCAGGCAGGATGGTATTTCTAGATCTTATCTGATGCAGGTGACATCAGAATAAATATTGGGATGTCTTATTTAAAACCAAAAGCAAAATGAGATACTTTGTGACTGTATTTAAAGCATGTTCAGAAAACAATTCAATGTAGGTCTTTGAAACCACTAGAGGGAGATATCTTCCCTTTTTACAGAATAGACTTCTAAAAGACACCCAGAAACACAATAAATACCTGAATTAAGGAAATATTTATTCATGTTTACAGTTCAAGTTCTTTGAAAGCCTGAGATTACTGACCTTTATTATAAGCCCCCTTCCCCAGAGAGGGTTTTTCCATGACTTCAGTCTCAACACAGATGTACTCAAACCATAAAATGTACTAATTACTATAATTACTGCCCTTACTGGTTTTAACAAAATATGACTTAATTTTATCTTGTAGTGTCATTCTCCTACATTAGCTATATTGCCTATTTTTCTAGCAGATTATCCTTCTGTTCACCTTCTCTAATTTATACATTACTTTAATCACTGAGATAATTGAGATAAACTCGCATACTCTAAATAGGCATTCTGTGATAGATTTATTTTTTAAAAAAATTAAGCCATTCTGGCTGTTGCCAAAATATATGCACAACCAGGGGTCATTTAGTAGAAAAAGAGGTCCAGGAGCTCATTAGCATGCCTGCTATTAGCATAATCATTAGCATATGCCACGCCCCCTGACAGCACAAGAAGTGTGTCAGAAGGGGAAGCAAAAAAGGGGGGGAGGCATCTTCAAAAGCCTCCCCTTCCCTTCCCCATCCGGCCTGCCAAGGCGGGGTGGGGGGGAAGCGAAGAGAAAAGGGGTTTAAAGTTTAAACCCCTTCCCTCTAGAGTCGCGCTGCAGGGGTGGCAGGATCTTTCCATTGTATTCTATGACCCCATAGAATGCAATGGAAAGATCGTGCTGCTGCTGCTGCTGTGAACTCTAGAGAGAAGGGGTTTAAACTTTAAACCCCCTCTCACTTCGCTTTCCCCCCCCCAGCCCACCTTGGCAGGAAGCCATGCATTTAAATCCCCCCCCCCCCACGTCCCCCCCGCAAAGGCAGGC